ATGTAATGCCAGTACATATAATTTTGGTAACTTTGAATATGTATGTGTAAAATTATTTTTTTGTGAGAATTATTCAAATTTAGGTGAATTTTTAAAAGTAAATTCCAACTGAAAAAACATTTTTCTTTGCTTTATCAAATTGAATCTTAAACAACAAGAAAACAGAGATGAAAAGACTCAGAAGCACCATGGAGCCAGAGCCATACTGTGCCGTCTTGAGCACCACAGATAAAGCTGACAGCCCACGAGGCCGCTGCTGTGCCAGTTGGTCCTCCATGTCTCCACAGTTCAGGAAAGGCTGAAAAGACAGTGAATAATACAAGAGAGACATACGAACTTTACCTTACTCTCAAGACCTCTTACTAACAGGGCTCTCTGACATTGAATTACTCTACTATTCATCTGGCAATTTGCCTCCTGTTTTGTTGAATTTTTAAGTAAATGGTGTATTTTCACCTTTTAAAAATCCCCCCAAGTTCTAAATCTTATAATTTAGAATCCAGCAGCAAGCAGAAACACCAAAATGGCAGATTTATTTGCATAGATGGGCACTGATCGAGCTCATTCCCAGAATATCAGGCCCTGATGTCTGGTGGTCTAGAGCTTATATGAGATAAACAAGCAGGAAGTACAGAGGCAGAATGGCTTGTCAATTGGGGATTGGTTTATACAATAGGCATCATACTGACCAGCTACGCATCACAGTGACCAGCCATGTCTACAAGACAGAAGCAACTGGAACTGTACCTGGGCAACTAAGAAACTGAAGTACACTGGCTTGTATGGTGGGGGGGCATTTTCTGCTATGGAATCTCCCATAGTCCCCAAGACAGGCCCTAATATGATATGATGCTTTTCCCTCTTTGATGTGAAAGAGCACTGCTCTGTGTTAACAAATTGTTTTGCACTTGGAATTATAAAAGTAAAACACTGCTTTTATGCCATATATGTAAAGACTCTTAGCTTTTCCGAATACAGGCAGTACCTCAGTTGTGAATTGGCCTTTTCTAAGTTATTTTGTATACTGGTTTGAGAACTCTGTAAAAATAATTTAAGTATTGGGTACATTTCCAAATCACACTGCACAGGAGCCATTTAGCACAACCTGCATATGAAGTAAATGGATCCCTAAATCACCTCAAAACCAAATGGTTACTCTTAACAGTTGCCCTAGGAACTGCAGATATGCAGAGGAAGGGGACTCCACGTGCCCCTCCAAGACCGTCCACCCTCTCTCCTGTGACATGGGGAGGGAGAATCCGCTCTTCAATTCCCTATGGCTCCGATTGTGGTTCGGATCTAGGCTCCACAGAATCGGTGACGGAACTGGATTCTTGGTCTCCAAATCAATAAATTTGCTTGATGGACTAGGAGGAGACTAAAGAGGATTACGAGGGCCTCTTTGGGGCTTCCCCTTGTGGTGAAGTGTCTGCAAGATGTCATTTGTTTCCTTCTGTTTCCTTTTGCTATGCCTTTGCTGCTGCTGAAGGGAAAGGCAGGCAGGGAGAAGCAGCTCTGGGTTTCTACAGTTGCAACAAGGAGCTGCTTCCCCCACTCCTTGGCTTTGTTATCTCTGATAGAGGGTGGTAAGAATTGGAGGAGAGAGGTGTGGCTAGCTAGGGGCCTAATATTAGAAGGCAAAAAGGATTTCTTCCTGTAAAACTTCCTAGCTCCAGCCCACTGTGATGTGATGAAGGGGTGCATTTCAGGCATTGGTTTGGGATTTGGAAATCCTAAACATCTGATTGCTGGTAGCAATGAGGAGGAATGAAAGAAGAGACGAAGGGAAAACATTAACAGAAGAGGAGAGTAATGTGTAAAGAACAGATCTCTTTAAGCTGTATTTTGCCTGTGAAATAAAAGATACCCAAATTTAGGTTTTTAAAATCTGTGGTCCAAGTGCATAAATGCCATTTTATTTTCTAATAAAGATATGCTTTAAAATTTAAGTGATGAAAGCCAGATGTGGGATTTTCTGAGGGTAACTCCACTTTGTATATATCAACTTTACAGTCTGTTAAATGTAGGAAGCCTTGCAGAATCTTTAGTTCTTTTCCAGTACAGGGGGCTGGAGGAAAGGCCAGCTCTGGCCTAAGGCTCTGGTTCTCTCTGGAGCTCAGTTCTGGCAACCTGCTCTTTTACTCATTTCTTTCTCATTAGTTCCCCCTCTGCAAGCTACACAGATGCATGGGAATTGAATCTGCAGACCTTCAGCAAGTGTAGAATCAGTGGTTGTAGGAATCACGTAGGAAATGAACAGGAGCAAGGTCCAAGCAAAGCAGCCTGAATTCTAGAGGTGTCTCGCCCGGGCCTTCAGGTTTAGCCTCAGGCGGACGAGACAGTTTGAGGGGAAAGGACTCGTTCTGTTAACACTGTCACCTGCTACATCAAGGTCTGTGATTGGCAAACTGTCACCCTAGATGCGTATTTTGCCTTTCACTCTCTTCTACAGTTTCAACTGTGCTTCTGTAGCCAGCAAAAGTGTTTGTAAAATACAAAATAATGGGTCAAAGCATCTTGTAGAAAAAAATTTGATAAAGATTTGATGCAGCGTTCTTCATGTTTCCTCAGTCTGCACCCAGGGCACCGGTGGTGGTGGGGGGGGCAGGAAGAGGAAAGGCTCAAGCTTCTTTGGTTTGGCCACTGTTCACTGGAGCACGGTGTTAAGCACGGGGATATGAAGAAGACGTGATTCATGATGCCATTTCTTTTACCCAATTCTCTCTGAACTAGAATCAAATATTTTATTAAAAGTAATAGGAGTGAAAAATTCCAAATAAGATGATTCACAAAATTTAAACAAAGGTAGATTCCTTAAAGGTATAATAATGACTTCCACTTCTTATTGATAGCTAGGTTTTAACAATAAACATTTAAATTCTCTTCAGGTTTTCTTCTGGGTACGTTATGGGACAGTATTCCTTGCCCGTAATGAAACGTGATCAAGAAAGTAGAGTTAACATAGTTGTTCTACTGTCCTGTATTTCTTTGCTGAAAGAAACTGTCAATGAGTCCTTGGTTGACCAGTATTGCATGTCTCTATCTGTTTTCATGAGAAACCACTTTGAAGATATCAACATGTAATACAACAAGCATTGTTAATTCCCTACCACTTTGTTTGTAACTCTGTATTGTCTGTACTGTTCTTTTGCTAGTTTGTGAAAGGTTGTCTGTCTGTTAACGTTTTCCTCCTTTTATTTTTAAAATAAAAAAAAAATTTAAAAAAAGAAAGTAAAATATTGCCTTCTTTACAGACTGCCTTTTCCTTGTGCATCTTCAGAGACACAGTCAGGAAGGTGAAAAATCCTAAAATATTTATTCCAGTTAATGTTTTAAACTTCTAAGTCCAGTTGGTTCTTGCAGTGGTGGAGGTAGGTGCTGGAGGACCCAACTAGGTTACAGTCAAGCCCTGGAGGTGCAAATTGATCACAGGCGGAGTCCACTCTGGGGCAGCACGTAAGATTAACTCTAGTCCTTTGCCCTGATAAAACGAGGCAGGTGTCAGGGGGATGGACTTTTCTGGATAGGATGGAGACCCGGAGGAATGAAATCTTCTCTGGTTAGAGAGGAAATTTGGTATTAAGAGCCTCACTCCATCCCAATAATAACCTAACAACTGGCGGTGTCCAGGGCACCGGGTGGAGTGGGAGGCAGGAAGTAGAAAGGCCAAACTCCTTTCTCTGGTTCGGCCAGAGAAATTTTCCCGGGGCGCGGTGTTAAGCACGGGAATATGAAGCCAAGGAGGAGGTGGTTTTGTCCTTGAAGAGCTCACAGGTCAGGAGAACGACTTTAACATTCCCCGTGGGTTTTGATGCCTTTTATCCCGGGAGTTGAGGACAGTTGCATGTAATTCCATCCACACACTTTCCTAAAGATTTCAAAACAGGGAAAACGAGGCGCGGGATGGGGTGCAGGGGAGATGCTGCAGGGACTCGGGCCACACTGGCGGGGGGGCTCCCAGGGCCGTCCCGCCTGGGCCCGCTCCCTCCCGCGGCGGGCTCGGGCTCCGGCGACACTGCGCGCCCCGCCCGCA